TCTTCACTAATTCCATATAAGGGGATTTCTTTATGAATATTTAGGAAGTTCTGAGTCTTATTTTCTGGCAGGGTCAGATTAATTAAATTCAACAGGGTCTGCATAGCCTCTTGGGCTTCAGTATTTCAGGGATTGATGTTGGTCTTGTTGGGTTGTTAATTATTATTTTGATTTGTTAGATTGTTTCTTGGAGCAATATCTTTTCTGTTGTCCCTTTGGAGAGGGTTGGGCAATTTCTAGCAAAATATCTATTTTGTTTGCAACAAGAACAAGGACTTCACAGCCCATTGTTCTAATTATTCTAGTTTCTTCTAGAAAGGTCTTTGATCTCCTTTAGTTGGTTCATCATGCTGTTGACTACCTCTTTCAATTTTTTAATTGCTTTCTCTGTTGAACTTGGTCTAGAGAGTGGTACCCGGGAGGATACATATTGAGGAGAATAAAAAGAGATGACAAAAGAGGTGTTAAAATAGACCAAATTCTGCTTGAAGGCATTTTTAAAAGCCTTAGCCTTTTTCAGAGTAGCAGGCAAAGTTCTGAGCAAGAAAGAGGCTACTAAGGTGGCAAGATCAGGTTTTAGGCTACTAATGAATATCTGGGCCTTGGCAGTGTCTGGTAATAATACCTACTAGCTTCCACCCTTCACAAAAGTTCTTCTACAGCTACATGATATGTATTTATGTTATCTGTAAGAAGCTGCTTGTACTGTGTCAGCTAAGCAAACTACCTACTCTCCAATGCAGGGGTTCTGAAATAGGAGATAAATGTGGGTCTAAAGCTTTGACTCTGGTTTTGGGTATCATTCTATTAATCAACCAGCTGGGGTTGATTTCTAATGCTGATCTTCTACATAGCAGTAGCACCCTTAAGTTTGGGGACAATAATAAAAATCTTTTGATTATTTTGTACTTGATTGACCTTGAATATCTTTTTTACATCCTTCAACCAGGTGATGAGAACTTGCTCTCCACCTGAAAACTTAGGATAAAAGACCAAGTTGAGCTTTTGATTTTGTACAAGGAGATTTATTTGGAGGATGTTGACTTGGGGAGATGCAACATTGATCTGTAGGGGATAAACTTGCTGTGTTTGGTAACCAGTGCTCTAATTTGTTGAGTGAGGTGTCTATAGAGTTAGGCTGGTTGTTAGGATTTGGAGCATTGTTGTTGTTTCTTTGAGCTATATTATCAAGTAATTTGAAAATATTTGTGGCATCTTCTTCTGAAGTTTCACTGTAGTTATAAGCATCCTCAAATAGGTCTTTTAAAAATCTATCAGTTTCTTGATAGATGGTCAGAAATTCATTTAATAAGATTAGATATATGTCAGGCTATTCATAATAATAAAAACTTAAGAGAAATCTTCTTAGTAAAGTTTCAGAAAATCTTCCAATAGAAAAATCATGAAAAATTGAAACAGATTAAAGAAATCTGTGAATACAAAATAACCAGTTGTGCCAAACTAATTTGCTTCTAAAAATTGGTAAACTGAATCGACTGATCATCTTGGGGGCTAAAGCAAACAACACAAGAATTATCAGAGTAGTGTTCTATAAAATATTGAACTGCTTAAGACCCCTTTCGGACGATATAATATTGTTGATCATGTTTAGTGATGTTCCTGAGATGTTATTCAAAATTATTCATATAGTGAATCTGAAGTATGTTATCTGAATCCACACAATCAGCACCACTTGTTACTATTGGCAAAAAAGTGAAAATCGACAAATATGCCAGTTTAGAACATGACAGTAAATAATACAAGTCAGAAATGAAAGGATGTCAAGTGAAT